CTGTCTGTGCGTAATTTTGCCACTTGCAGTAGTCCACCCGATGGTTTCCCAGATATTGTCCCGTTTCCAACGGTCCGCGATGGTCTCCTCGATGGTGTATGACATTGCACCCTTGTCCACGTGCTGTGCCATGACTACTGCCTCCATGGAGCTTGTCCAATCTACCCGAACCCGAACATTGGTTCCCGGGTGAAGAATGCTGGTGGTAATCCAGAGAATCTTTTTGTCAACTGCGAGATGATATTTGATGCTAGCTTCTTCTGGGTCTGGAAGGGGCACCAGACCGATGTATTGGCCAGCCGGACCGTATGGGTCAACTGTGAGGCTCGCCGGAGTTGTCGCTACACCCTCGTCTCCGCAGGGCTCTGTGTCCATGAGACGCTGTAGGGAAACATCTTCATTTTCCCATCGTAAATAACCCGCAACTATCTCCACAGCCAGACATTGAGGTCGCAGTGTCGTGATAGAATTGATCGACGAAGCCACTGCAACGTAGCCATTTGTTGCGTAAACAAGGTCACGTCCTGAAATGCCCGATTCATATGTGCCTGTGTAGCCGATAGCCATCGATGCACCTGGAAGCAAAGACGCCATTGCTTGTGCACGGTATTGCGTGATGGTGATCTTGTTCATTGGATTCATCATACTGTTGGGTTTAATTGGGGGAACAGAAGCACGCATTGCCGCAACAAGAGCATCACTGAAGACGCTATGCAGAATGTGCATGGCATTATCGGCAATGCCAGCGAATTGGCCAGTTCTGAAGTAGCGAGTTCGCGCGAAACGGGTGCATGTCGCCGAATAAGTAGACTCAGCGGCCATGTAGCATGCAGCCTCAGCGACGTTGGGAGAGATTTGATGAGCCGGCGAACCGGAACGAGAACTGCTCCATTCACTGACGCGCTGAAGTACCCAGATCAGTGCATTTACCGGTTTCATGAAGAGCGGATGGCCAAATCCCTCCTGTGGTTGGCCTAGGTTCGGGCATCCAAGCTCCATCCAGTCCCTGTAATCTTTGGCGTATCGCCCGATAGTTGCTTCGTCGACTCCTGTTGAAGAATCCCAACCGTAACACTCCATAGAATTCCGGCTTGACGTGAGGTAGTTATCTTGCGATACGTGCTGCAACTTAACAGACCGGGGCGTGATACCGGCGGCGGTCATGTCCGACATGATTTCGCCCTTTTCCAAGGCGAGCTCAACGAGCGCTGCCGCCATGTGTCCCACCAATCTGAGATCAGCGGCATCAAGCGAGTACTGGGCTTGCACAATACTTCTAGCACTTGGGGCAGGCACGAACCCGGAAAACTTCTGCACTACACCATCTTCTTCCCTCCTCACAACCACGGTAGAAACTATTTTGGCTTCCTGCCATTCTTGTATAGTCCACTGTCCCGATTGCTCCGACGTACGTATATCAAGGAGTATTCTTTGATGACCACTGGTGACAATGTTGGGCTGATCTACTGCCAAGTGGACATCACCTTCCCGAAGCCACATGAGCGATGACGCAATCATGATGCAACTGGCTATACCGCGTAAAGTGATTATGTTGTCTTTCTTTTCCTCGTCTTGCAGAAAGGCAAAGACCCTCGAGTAGACTTCCGCAATTTGTTTACTATCCGGCTCCTGGAACGCCAGGTTGAGGTGCCTGGGGTCAGTCGTGACTTGTCTGACCCTACTTTCAACTGATTGAAACAATTGCGTAGGCACTATGACGTCGCTGAAGCCAGACAATGCGGAAACGACGGCAGTAAGCTCACGGCGAGACGATCGGAGGTCCGGGTTGCTTGACAAGCCCTGCAGAGACAGCATTTCAAACAGTATGGCCCCGATTGCGCTGTCATCTAGCATCGTTTTGAGGCTAGTCGCAAGGAGAAAGGCTGGGACGCATCGCTTTTCCTCGTTTCGTATCAACGTAGCGATACCCCCGGTGTGCAATCCAAGCATGATAGCGAAGCGTTCAAGATGGAAATATCGTCCTCGGGTGTCCAGCGCGTCGAGTCCTTCGTCGATCCTTTCTGGCGAGACGAGAATGCTCATGCTGAGAGCGGAGAAGGCCATGACGGCATTGCTTTGGGCTTCATCCTGGCGGACAGCCCTGGCCAATTTGAGAAGGGTACTTGTAAGCACAAATGACGTGTTGTCAACCGACCACTGCGTCTGGACGATCTTGTTGTCGTTGGGCATGATGGGCTGTTGGAAACCTAGAGGATTTGGGGTCAGGAACTCCTAGAAATCGTGTTGGTATCAGGTCTTTCCGATTGTGTAGCTGAAACGAGAGGCAGGCCTTCATCATATCATGCCGATAAGACATCTTCTATCGACGCGGGGTATTTGTTTGCCCTGTTGCCTGCGGCTTCCAGTCAGCCTCGTTAGATGCAGCAATGCGATTGCTTCGTTGGTCGCAGGGTTCATTCTGCCTCGTATCTCTGGTTTAGCCGGAAAGTGCATGAAGTGGTCCTCCAGCAGCGCGAAGAGAAATTTCTGGAAACATCCTCTCTATTGTCGAATCAAGTCTGAGATGAAGATGGTCAGGCTCTGATAAGCTTCCGAGGCTGGTGGTTCGCAACTGCCAGGTTGTTGCGCCACCAACGACATTACGCGTCCGTGGGGAGGGGTATGTCCATACACACAAAATGAGTCGATTCCTATACTTATTCAAACCTTTACATACTACATTGCACATAGATAGATCGTAGAGAGTTGAATCTCTACGACGCTGCCCATATCCGTTGAGAAGTAATCCCAAGCTTGCTCTATTCATACATCATAATAGCATAAAACAACTAGCAGCAATGCGTAAAAGAGCTGCTACCGCTATGTTCAACAATACCCAGCTCGCCTGACGATGATGATGCGGATGAGTTTCCGGAACTGAGAGCCCCGAAGATGGGGTCTAGCCACTTGTCGACAGTGTAGATGCATGCACCAGGGACGCAGTAAGCTTCGCCCTTGACAGCAGCGTTGTTGACGCTCGTGATAGCGCCTTTGATGTCCCTTCGGACGGTCGCGGGGAATCCGACAATGGACTTCTCCTGGCCGGTCGATGTCGTGTCGATGAAAGGGTACTTAAGCAAGTAAGAAGACAGCGCGTTGTTGCTTGGCTGAAGAGCCTTTGCGCTTTGTCCAAGTGCAGTGAGTGCCCCATTGCTCGGCGCGAAGATGGAGAGGTTCTTGCCTTGGCCGAGAGATCCGCCAAGGAGGTAGACGAAATCGGGGGATGTTGCGTTCAAGAGTTCCACGTATGTCGATAGGTCTTTTTGCGTAGCTAGGGCTGATGCAATGGAGCCTTCGTTCTGAGATGCTGGGGATGAGGCAGATGTAGTGTTGTTGAACTCGTCGGTCCTGTAGAGTCCAGCGAAGGAATCGAGTACTGAGGTGATTTTAAAGATGGCTCCGTTCCCGACTTCGGTTCTCGAATCAGAGACTAGGTTGGCTTGCTTGTTGACTGAGATAGTCTCTCCCGCCGAGTTGAAAGCAAGAGGTGTGCCTTCGATGGCGGTGACAGACTTGCCCGAAGTCTTGACGTCTTCCGTAGTGATCGATCCTTGTGCGATGTGGCTTCGCAGGATGAACTCGAGTAGTGGATACGATGCCGGTGCCGTCAAAGCTGTGCTTAGTTCTTGGGGTAGATTCTTGAAAGCCTGTACAGGTCAGCAATCCAGAAGGCAAGGCATCATTCGGTATCATTGCTTACCGAGTTGACGGGTGCAAAGGCCGTATACTTGCGTCCATCAGTGAGGTTGTTGAATCGCTCTTCGAATTGCGGACCAGGAATGCCGCTGCTACCACCCGTGCTCTTGATGAGGCTGTAGAAGACGGAAAGGTCTGGGTCGTTTGAAATGGCAGTCAGGAGAGGGGCAGAGTCCTTGGTGGCTCGTTCGACTGCAACCGGAGAAGAGGCTGCGAGGATGGAAAGTAAAGCGACCGGGAGAATGCGCTTGGCTAGCATCTTGATATCTTGATGTATAGCTTTAACTTGAACTTAAGGATCGATGAACTGTTGGCTACGACTTGTTTGTCGTTCACTTGATGCTACGGACGGTCAAGCGAGGGCCTTATATGTTTGTGTACGTCCATAGCTATACTAGCTTTCGGACCGTGTTAGAGCAAATTGTTTCGTTGTCAGAGGTTTGAGTTTGCCGTTAGGTAGTCCGTAGTGTATGATGGAATGCTACCAGATGGTGTAGCTTTCGGGCGAGCCAATCAAGATAGAAGAATATCAGCAGCTAAGGGTCACTGTACCCGAAGGCGAATAGATCTTGACTACATCATCAACGTTGCATCACTGTTCTTCTTCATCAGTTGTTGCCTCTGTAACATCGGCAGGTATAACGGCGAGACATTTCGATACTGTGATGTGGATCAATATGTGGGGAGTATGAGGTTGATATCGGGGGGTTGGAGAGGAAGCATAGCAAATCCTGGAGGCGCAGTGGAGTGTAATGAAGGGGAGCGCCACAAGGAATTCTGCCGATCTGATATCATAAAATACCCGACGCGCCAAGAGCAGCTAACGTCTTGTGGCGTCTTTGACGCTGTCGGTAGAGTTGCATCACTACCTAGGTAGGTGCCACAATAATTCGTTCCGGAATTTTGAGTGACGCATGCTGAATGACCCTGCAACGGATTGTTATTGCGCCATCGTGACATTTCTACCTGAGTTGGTGACAGGATGAATGCGGCGGGAATATCATCCCTATTGGAGATCTCCCGAAGACCAATCCATGACACAGACACGCATGCAATCAAGGCCGCCCGTGCTACGAGTTAGTATGCCGAGTCGTCATGCACGAAGCCCCAGCGCGCACTAGTACACCGGTGTAGGAGGAAGATTGCATCATTTGCGCGTGTGGCAGATAGGCTAATCTTGACGGAGACCAGTCCGCTGTAAAGCTATAGTCGAGATTCCTGCTCACCATGCAAACACTGCTACGTGGACGACAGGCCAAAAACGTGCTGTAAACATGACAAGAGCGTCAAAACACCGAGTCTTTCTACCGCTTCAAAAGGTAGTAGGGAACAATAGCAGCTCCCACCATAGCAGAGATAGCTAGCCATCTCATCAGACCCTTGTTAATCATCTTTTTGGCTAGTCTATCAATCGCTTCTCCGTCGTTGATTCTCGGGAAGGGAATATCCTTCGGGACATCCTTCCCCAGCGCCTTACACAACGGCTCCCAACCCTCTCTGACATCGAAGAAGAACAGTCTTTCCTCGGGCACAACCCTCTTCAAGTAGGCGATGTGCGCCTTATAGTCTCGGGTGGAGACCCCATCATGCTTTCCATACAACTCTACCCATTGCTTCCCTAGGCCGTTGGTAAAGTCGACAAAGTGGCGCATGCCTGGGAGAGGAAAGAGTACAAAGCGTAAAAACCACTTTGTCGTTGCGTTTGTTATGGTTCCTATGCTCTTCACCCACGCATCTGGATCCCGAGTCGTGCATATGACCAGCGCATCAGGATAAACTTCGACTAGCTCTTGTACCAGCCCGTTGAATGGCATGTCGGTGGCTGCCGCATAGCCGTCCAGGCGCTGCCTCAGCAGATCGTGTACAAGCTCTTTCTCGGAGGGCGACTTCGGTGGTGAATGATCAAGTATCTTGATCAGCGGCTTGATCTCTTTCTCAGCGCCCAGAGTAGCCTGCGTACCACCATGATAGACAGGCCCATTGAGTAAGATGCGCAATGCTTCGCTGAAGGAGGAAGTTCCGGTGCGTGAGAGGCCAGCGCCGATTACTTGGAACTTAGTGCCTGGCTGAGGAACGGAGGGTTGGTTGCCCATTGTTGATGCTAAATTGGTATGTTACTCACGAGAACTAAGTGGTTAGGTAGCTGATTTATATAGGTGATTGGTCGATCTCGGATCTACTCCGGTGTGAAGCGGCCTGTAGCGCTCTCGGACCTGCAGACGATTGCTCGCTTATCGTTAGCCCTTCACCGTAGCCAGCGGGATCGTCCCCGGGAGTGATACCGTCTTTTAGCAGATTTGACAGTACTGTGAGAAGGTTGGGTATCATGACGGTGCGCCTCAAAGGAGCAAAATTTTGTTCAGACTATCAGTAGGTTCTAATTGTGGTTGTTCGCGCGATGAGCCGCTGTTTAGCAACTTGTCGCCGGCTTATGACCGCAAGCGGGCCGACGATGAGCTGTCAGTGAAGCGCAAAGGGTTTACAGAGTATTGAAAGTAGATTGATGGTGACCAACAAGCCCGAGGAATCGACAGGTCAGCGAGCAGGCAATGGCGTTGGTGCTGCTATGTACAACAGGGTGAAGCTCCGGTGAAGGTCGAAGTTCGTTGTCGCCAGGTGTGATCATATTTCGTGAGACTCTTGGCGTCACCTTACACTTGGTGTTGTGTAACCCTACAGATGTGGGGCGCGTGCCGCGTCTGGTCCATCCTCGATTCCATGACTATGTAGCGCCCTTTGATTGACATCAACCTTGAAAGCCGCAATTTCTTAGGTTACAGTGCTTCGTCTAGATTGTTCGGTCTTCGAGTTGGGCGCACCACCGGGGATCGGATGGGACCGACAGACTGCCAAGGTTACGGGTAAGACTAAACGTAGATGTACGAAGTCAGCGTAGGCCTCACATGCAGTTCGCACAGAGAGACTTACTATGTCGAGATAATTCTCTCATGAGAACAAACCATAAGGGTAGTTTCGCAGTTCTCTACGAAGCATCTTACGAAACTGGTGTACACCGTGTGCGCAGGGAGTCTCGACTCCTTGTACGGGATCTTTTGAAGTCGCCGGTCCTTTTTCTGTAGACTTTGCTGGACATAGATGCCATCCGTGCGGAGATGTGGACACAGGGGCTGAGCTAGTTGCTTCAAGTGCTGTTGGATATCGATTATGCTCAAGTCGCCAGTGCCGGCAATAATGGTCCATGATGGGTGACCACTAACCCTCCAGGTGTCGTCTGCAAGATTCTGTAATCGAGTGCAACAATACCAACTTTGTTCAAATCTCCAATCCGACATGCGTGATTTCAGTTGGTCGTACGTGAGATAATAGTGAGAACAGATACGAAAAGCAAGATTTGCACCATGGCATCTTCGTATGTGAGGGGATCGCAGCATTTCCGCTGCAGTAAACATCCGCTTCGGATGAGTTGCGTGACAGGCTGAGCAGAGGAGCTCGGCTTGTCTTTCTTCTTCGGCCAGCTTAAAGTATCGTTCGTTTTCAACGTCCCTCACAAGTCTTTCCTTCAACACCTCCCGTTCGTGTACCTCCATGTCAACATTCTGCACGTCGTGCAAGAGCAAGGCGTATCGTCGACACGCGAGTCGCAGGCAATATTTGTCGCTAGGTTGCATCCGTTCTGCAATATCGAGTACGAGTTCAGGGGGCAAGCGGTATATGTGAGAGTTACTGGCGTTCCGGATCTCGATGGACTCTGCGAGCTGATTGGCCTTCTTTCTGCGCTTCATTGTTGGGGGCCAGCAGTTGTTCTTGTACTCTGTCAAGAATCTGGATAAGGAGACGTGCATGGTGGGCGTCCTTGCTGTCATGCGATGGGCGTCTGGCGTGGGCATTGCAGATGCTGATTTCGTTGTCGCTCACGACAGCGACGACGGGAAGACACATAACTCTGGCTCTCTGACAACACTTCGGTAGAACGTCAGTCGATGGGTAATGAAAGACCCTCGAAGGGGTATTGTCTACGTGGACTCATGGTCCAGGGCCAACAGGCGTCCTCGGTAGCCAGTACTTGCGCTTTATTCACCGATTTGAAGACGATATTAGACGCTTATTACGGGAAGACAACGTCATCATTTGAGGTATCCCAGACACAGTCTATCACTCCACGGCCAGCGGCGATGTGCCTGTAATAATGAAGCGTTGGCGCTCTCAGTGCCCAGCCTCGTCATGGCTGTCGCTCGAGTTGTATGCATAAAGTGAACGCGATGACCAGATTCCCAATGCTGAATGAAACGAACGAGCAGAGAATGCGTGAGAAGAGTTTGGGCATCATTGAGAGCAGTTGCAGGTGTAATGTTCTAAGGCCTGCCCAAAGCACGTGCAGCGGCGCTAGTGGCCCTTATGTCATCACAGATTGTGCTAACTTTTTGATAGTAGGGCAACCATCGTCACCAGCAGCTCGAGGCCCAACACCACCAATCTATTCCGACGTGCATCTGTCGCTAACGCCCTATACCCTAACCACACCAATCGCACACCCGAACAACCGCCAAAATGGTCAAGCTCGAAGAGGTCATGGATGAGGAGTTTGTGCGCGAGCAGGAAGGCCCGCATGACGACGATGAATGGGACACCGATTCTGGTACGATACTGCAAACCGCTCCCTAGATGCGCCTGGCGCATAGAAGAAAGCATAGGAATTGCATACAAATACTAAACGTACCACTGCAGAGTCAGACACATCCTCCATCCACTCCGTAACACCCGACGAGACCCTCTACGACCGCATCATCGCCCTACAAGACATGATCCCCGCCAGCACACGCCGATCCGTCTCCTCAAAAGCCAACACAATCACTTCATGGTTCAAGAGCGGTCTGAACATGGGCGGCAAGACTCTTTGGGTAGTGAGCACAAGTGCGCTGCTGCTCGGTGTGCCCTGGGCATTGGCGTACAGCGAGGAGCAGATGATTGTCGAGCAGGAGAGGGCTGAGTTGCAGGCACAGAGGGCGCAAAACGAGGTACGTGAAAGCCGTTCCGCGACGAGCGCTTTGCAACGTCTTGCTAACTTTTGACAGTTCATGGCTCCCGGAGCGCCCGTACCTGGACAGCCAACAGGCGCAAAGCCTGCTTTGTAGACGACGAAACTTTCGATTTGGCGTTTCGACTGAAAGCGACTCAAACATTAAAAACGTTGGGCTCTTCACATCTGTTTTATTAGGATGACGGTGCATGGAACGGGCTGAACCTGTACATACAGCGGCGAGAGTTTTACGCCGTCACGATCTGTACTATATTTCTCGACTCCACGATAATGTATTGCGTCACATATTCATCTTGCAAAAAACCCAGTTGTTTCTGTACATTTCATTTTTTTGTGCCCACTGGCTATGCTACTATATGTACAAATACATCGTCTCATGTCGACATGCAAACGTCTGGCGACATAGATGCTTCGCGAGATCCCGGTCTACCAAAACTCGTATCCCATCAGATGTCAACGTTACGCCTTTTACATTCATAAATCACCCCAGCCGCGCGCATGCAGTACCGCGATCATTCCGCAGATAGTGGAACGAGACCAGGAAAGCGGGGACGCTGGGTTTGCAGACGACGCTCGCTCCAAGAAAGGTGGTAATACAGCAAAGAGAAGAGTCATGGTATTATAGTCGATACATGGGTGTGTGGAGAGGCGTTTAGAAGGGGATCGAGCCGGCTGACATTGCGACGCCCTGTTGTTCTTGCTGTTCCATGACGGCCTCGTCGGCGGCTTCTATCGCAACGGCCAGACCAAGCTTGGCGGCGTTCTACGATTTTGTCAGTATTTGATATCAGGCTGGGAATCGGCGAGACTTACGCTCTTGTGGTCGATTTCACCTGAGAAAGTCACGCGGATTGGGGGCGCAATCATCTTCTCCAACAAACACGAGACCTTGCCCTGGTTGTCGATCTGCGCCCTGTACGACGATTGACGGAAGTCGTACTTGGCACCGATTGTGACGTTGCCCTCCTTCTGTGGTCCGGCCATGGGTCCTCCGGGGCCAATTCCAGCGAATGCGAGGTTGCAGTTGATACCCGTCTCAACCTTGTCTGTGAGCCTGCGCCAGTATGAAGCCTCCAATACACCACGGTCGGGAATGATCTGACCGCACGCCATCCAGTCGACAGCCCTGTAGCGTGCCGCATACGAGACGTTCAGCTCTGGTGGGTATGCCATAGCGGGGCGGGTCCAGAAAGCATCGATACCGAGCGAGAGCTTGGGGGTGACGGCCTGGAGGTAGCTGGCCATGAGCATGCCGGTGATACCGCCATCGAGTATGGAGGGGTTGACAGCCTTCAGCGAAGCGGAGAAGTCGGCGCCGGTGTAGTCGTTCTCGAGCGACACCATGTTGCCTTGTGATGTGAGCTGGACGGCGGCCTTGGAAACGAATGCTGACGTCCAGCGCCAGTTGAAGCGACCGGAAAAGGCAAGCTCGTTGTCGAGGTTTCCTTGCATGAACACCTTGAAAAGTCAGCGTGAGAAGGCTGCCGACGATCTGAGCGACAAACCCGTGGTGATCCATAGAGAACCATGTATGAGTATGGTGGCATGACCTGCGATCCCATGGACAGCGAGTGCGCAACCTGGAATAGAGGAGCGGCGCTGAAGGCCTTGGTGAGCTCGGCGCGCAGGCCTGAGAAGCTGGAGTTGTTCAGGAAAACATCGCGCTGGACCTCTCTCGCAATGTTCTCGACTGTGCCCGGGTTGCTGAGGCCCAATGCCTCTCTCCGCTCTTGGAACGCATCGTATACATTTAGGAATTGTGCGAATGGACCGGTGTTGGCGGCGCGAGGGCGTGATAGGATGTCGGCGACAGCTTGTTCCTGCGCTGGGTTGAATTGCAGCGGAGTGGCCATGGCGAAAATATGTGCCGAGGTCAAACTAAAAACTCCCTACGGTGTGGGAGAGCTTGCACAAGGTGGGATGGAAATGGCAGTAAACGGTTGGAGGGCGATGTTGGGTCGCGTTCGCTAGCATGACGATATCGAACAGAAATTCTAAAGTCGTCACGTGACGTGACCTGGTGCCGCTAGAGCTTATCAGATCTCTAGTACCCAGGACGTGCCGCCCGTTGATACCATGATTGCTTTTTGGGAT